TAAATAATTTAAAACAATTCTCTTTCCTGTGTCTTCCTTTATTCCACCTGTCTTCAACTGAAACATAAATTTCTGCTTGCAACAATCTATTCTCAGGGTGATAAAAGTAGATTAATATTTGATGAGGGTTATGTTTCTGATACTGAATATTTACAAAGCATTTACAACCTTAAAATTCAATCTTTTTTCTGTTATATGAATGTCATGATTTTCCTCCCACTGAAGTAAATTTGAAGGAGATAATGAAACAGAGAATAAGTGAATGTATATACATTCTATCTGAACACCAAATAAAACATTCACATGTCTTGAGCTTTGCCCCTTCCAAGTGATCTGCAAAAGATGTGTTGCATGTTCTTGTCGGTTTATACAATTCTCAGAGAGAGAGAAAAATACTAGATCTTTACAGGAAGCACCTCACTTCCCAGATTCCAACTCAGAATCTGCTAATGAGGCCCTGGTTTCTTTTCTCTCGGTCCCCAGTGCTACCTTTGCTAGTCCATAGCTTTTCCTCCTACTTCTGAAGATTCCTCTCTTTTATCTTGAACATGTCCTCCAGGTTCTGGGCTTTGCTGTTGAGATTTTTGTGTTTGAACTTGAACTGATGTCTCCTTAAAAATTCTCTTGCCAAGTTGTGTCCTCCATTGATGCTGAGCAGAGGTGAAAGGAACAATAGTTGTTGGTTGTGTATTAGGAGATAGGGAGTTGGCTGTCAGGGATGAATTATCAGCTGTGCTTTGTTTAAAATCACAATACGGAGGAGGCGAGAAGATGGCGGACGACCCTAGTGCTGCTGACAGGAACGTGGAGATCTGGAAGATCAAGAAGCTCATTAAGAGCTTGGAGGTGGCCCGCGGCAATGGCACCAGCATGATATCATTGATCATTCCTCCCAAAGACCAGATTTCACGAGTGGCAAAAATGTTAGCAGATGAATTTGGAACTGCATCTAACATTAAGTCACGAGTAAACCGCCTTTCAGTCCTGGGAGCCATTACATCTGTACAACAGAGACTCAAACTTTATAACAAAGTACCTCCAAATGGTCTGGTTGTTTACTGTGCAACAATTGTAACAGAAGAAGGAAAGGAAAGGAAAGTCAATATTGACTTTGAGCCTTTCAAACCAATTAATACATCATTGTATTTGTGTGACAACAAATTCCATACAGAGGCTCTTACAGCACTATTTTCAGACGACAGCAAGTTTGGCTTCATTGTAATAGATGGTAGTAGTGCACTTTTTGGCACACTCCAAGGAAATACAAGAGAAGTCCTGCACAAATTCACTGTGGATCTTCCAAAGAAGCATGGTAGAGGAGGTCAGTCAGCCTTGCGTTTTGCCCGTTTAAGAATGGAAAAGCGACATAACTATGTTCGGAAAGTAGCAGAGACCGCTGTACAGCTGTTTATTTCTGGGGACAAAGTGAATGTGGCGGGTCTTGTTTTAGCTGGATCAGCTGACTTTAAAACTGAACTAAGTCAATCTGATATGTTTGATCAGAGGTTGCAATCAAAAGTTTTAAAGTTAGTTGATATATCATATGGTGGTGAAAATGGATTCAACCAAGCTATTGAGTTATCTACTGAAGTCCTCTCCAACGTGAAATTCATTCAAGAGAAGAAATTAATAGG